AATATTGTTATTTAAAAAAAAAAAAAACCCTTTTCCCTTCGTCTCACGTTTTCATTGGGACTGCCTTCCATTTTATTCCAGAGAAGCTAAAAAAAAAAAAAAAAAATATTCGTCCTGCGCACTTTTCACTTCCTAATTAAAATAAAGCCCTCCAGATTTTCGTCGTCTCTCTCTCTCTCTCTCTCTCTCGATAAAATTTTAAAACAACCGAATCAACAAACACTTGAATCTTTCGAATGCGGTTTAAACATTTTTCATTTACAAAATAACTTTTCCCATTTGAAAATCACAAAAAATAAATAAATAAATAAAAATTTTTTACTCCCCCCGATTTCCCCGCCCCCTCTCCCCTCTCCCGGCTTTTCCCGGGTAAAAATTATTTAAAAAAAAAAAAAAAAATACAAATGTCCTCCTACCTTTCTTCCTTCCTTCCTTATTTTTTTTTCCTCATAACCCCTTTTCGTATCCCTTCATTTTTCACCTGCTTCATATTAAGTAATTATTCTAGAATATTTTTTAATTTTTAAATAATAATAATAATAATAATAATAATAATAATAATAATAATAATGATTTTATACTCAAGTTTTGATTAAAACGTGATAATAGTTATCCTTAATTATTTTTTTTTTTTTACCTTTTTTTTACATCGATTATTTATACTGTGTGATTACTATAATTTATATCACGATAAAATTTGTAAAAAAAAATACAAATCATTATTATTATTATTATTACTTTTTTTACGGTCGCACGCCAAGATTCAACGTTGAACCCGCAAGGAACGTTTCTATGGCTACATCAGGAAATTTTTTTTTCCTTTTTTTTTTATCTTTCTCTCTCTCTCTCCCCCCAGTTGACAGTTTTCACTACACTGTGCGAGACAAATGCAATAATTAATAAAATCAAATCAAATAAATGCTAGAATGCAAAAAAAACCAAACCAAACCAAACCCCAACGCGAATTTTATTAATTTTAATTATAATTATTATCATTTATTCAAATTTTCTTTCATTGAATGGGGCATGGCTCCCGGTGCTGCTCCCACGATGACCGGAATAGTTTCCGTTTTTACTCCTCCCCACATTCTGGCTATTTCAGCCTTTTGCCCCCTTTTTTGACTGTCTAGTGTTTTACTCCGCCGGTTCGGATACTACAATTAGCTTACACTACCTTTCAGCATTACGTCTGAGTATGATACCCGGTTTGTTGGCTGGCACAGTTCTGTCAGTGTGGTGGACTTGTTGATCGTACAGAACTGTGCATGAACCTACTGTCGTAACCGGGGTTGGAATGTGGTTGTACCACTCCTTGGGTTGGAGTCCATCCATTTCATATTCTCGGCATGTACTCCAATGGAGATATTGACAAATTTTACTGTGCCTCTCCAGGTATTCATATTTTGCCAATATCGGACAACCGGAAATTAAATGCTCGATGATTTCCGACTGCGATTGACAAATTCGGCACATATCAGCTTGGGGGGCTTTGAGAATTACCTTCTCGTAATTATAAGTTCTTAATGCCTAATCTTATGCAGCTGTTATAAACGCTTCCGTTTCAACCTTTAATTTTCCACGCCTTAACCAATTGTGCGTGCTTTCCTTATTAATGTCTAAAGTATTTATTCTTTTCAGGTACTGTTCGTGTGACTTTTTCTGTTCCCATTTGCTCTTCAGTTTTCTTAGGGATTGGGCTTTGCTATTATAATTTCCAAGCTGCCTTTCCTCCGATTCATTTTCTTAATTTTTGTCTACTATTTACCGCGCTCTTTTGAGAACTTATATATGTTATATTATATTATTATTATTATCGACAATTGAACATCGATTTTATAAATAGAATTTATATATAAATATTTCCAAATAAATTTTTTTTTTTTTTTTTTTTTTTTTGGGGGGTTTTGTTTTCGAATGGATATCATTAAATCTTTCAATACAGTAGAGAAATTTAAAAAAAAAAAAAAAACTTACGACCCAGCATAAATGTCATATTTCGAGTACCTTATAATTATTATTATTATTATTATTCTTTCCCATTTTTCAAAACGAATAAATAATTTTAAATTTTTTTCGGAAGTGAAAAAAAAAAAAAAAAAGAAAAAAGTAAACAGTAATAAACTTACTTTTTAAATGATTGAAAACGTAACGTGTAAACGTCTCAAACGGGTGATATTAGTTATTAATAATATTTTTACTTCTTTGTGTAATCGATTTTAAAACAAAGATTTTCATCCCGGTTGTTTAACACTCGTCTACACTTTTGTATTAAACAAAAAGAAAAAAAAAAAAAAATTTCAAAGTAATCATTAATAATAAAATAATTAAATGTAGTTGAAAAAAAAAATATATATATATATATATATATATATATATATATATATGAACTATGTATTTAAAATTCTTACTTCGACCCTGTGCGTGTGCGATTGAAAACTAGATTTGATTAAATGTGTATTGAAATTAAATGAGTTTTGAATTCATCTTACTTAGTATATAAACATTGTCAATTTTAAAATTGAAATTATTTTTAAGTAGTAGTACTCTACTGCCATTTTTCTTTCTTGATTGCGGATTAAATAATCCTATAATTAATTTTAAATTAAAAATATTATTTATAAATTTAAATTAATTAGTCTCGGATTTTGGAAGTTGAAAATAAATAAAAAATAAAATAAATAAATAAATAAATAAATGAAAATTACTCGACAAAATTTTTTTATTTTACAATTTATTTCTGTGGCTTAGCAGAAGCCTTTCCAGTTGTCGCTTTCGATTTTTCAACTTTAGGTTTTCCTCCTGCAACTTTCTGAACCTTTTTAGTCAATTTAGCTTTTCCCTTAACCGATTTCAATGTTTTCACCTTTGGACTTGTAACTCTTCTCGATTTCAATTTCTTTTCCGTTACTGGTTTTTTGGGTTTGTCTGGAATTGGTTTGCCAAGTTTTTTGCTTATTCTCCATTTAGCACTATTCCTCCTCAATCTTTCGCTTCTCCTCTTTGCTGCTTTCATAAGCCTCAAATATTCAGCTGTTCTGAGAGCATTTCTAGCTTTTCTCGCATTTCTAAGTTTAAATCTGTCAAAATCTGACATTTTTCTCCTCTAAAATAAAAAAAAAAAAAGAAAATTTTGCACAAAAATTAAAACATCTTGATTGTAATAAATAATTAGGGAAAAGCAATTATGCATTTATTTAAAATTTCATCAGAATGAGTAATTGGCTTCATTAACTATCAGCCGGCAATTCCTATCAAGTATTCAGGTTCATCATTTTTATCTAAATATGGCTTCTACATCTTTATTCGTTATAATCGAAATGATAATTACCAATTTCCTTTTTGAAAGATTACCAGACCATTTGCCTGCCCTCCACTTTTCCATAAACTTGCTTGCTTCCCATGCTTTCCTAACAACTCTAGTGGATCCTTTAAAAGGAAATTTGATGAGAAACTTTGTCAAACGAATTTGATTTAATCGAATAGGTATTCTTGGAACTCCACTTTTAGGTCCATCCACAAGAACCTAAGTATGAAATAAGTATCATTTTCAAAAGTGTTAATTCGTTAACAATTACTATTATAATTCATCATCCTTTGATGCAAATACAAAAAAAAAAAAAAATACAAATATCCTTACCCTGGTTTGATCAATTACGTCAACGATACTGCATAACCGTCCAGCGTAGCGTCCACCTGATATCCAAGCTACGCGTCCAGTTTCTACGAACCTTTTAAACGGCTACGAATAAAAAAAATTAATCAATTTAATCGACCCAAATGTGAATGATCAATAATTAACAGCTCGTATGTAACATTACTAGTCATTTATTTCATTATTCTCACGCAAAAAGTAATGGATTCGAAAAATAAGGTATGCATCGCGCGAAAAAAAACGTGGCGCCCAATCGTGACCCACAGTCAGGCAATGCAAAATGTATAAAATTTGTAAATTTCAATATCGAAAACGGTTTTTTATTATTTTATACATGTAATAAACTAAATATATATATTTAAATTTAAATTATTACCATTTAAAAAGCCAATTATGAATCTAAATTAAAAAAACACGTGTCTATTAACATTACACTTACCATCGTATACCGGAAAGAGAATCCAACTGTAATGGCGTCGACGCAACTTTTCAAATGTGTACAAGTTGCGACAAAATTTTTTTTTTTTTACTCCTCCACATATTATAAATTATTTACCATTGAGAAATATTTAATTTTAATAATTTTACATAAAACAATCAAATAAAACACAAATTCTTTATTTAATCCATTAAAAAAAATTAAAAAATTAAAAAGGGAAAATGTTTAAATAAATTAAAACAATTTAAATTAAAAGTTTTAAAAAAAAGTTTTTAATTAAAAATTATTTTTAATTATTTATTATAAAAGTATATTAATACAACTGACCAAAAAAAAAAAAAAAAAAAAAAGAATTGAACTTGAATATCCAAAAATTGGATAACAAGAAAATACAATAGAAAATACACGAGAGTCATTAAAAATAGACCGAAAATAAATCCGTCAAGTTTCCCTTTCCTTTATAAAACTTCCATTTTTTCCTCTTCTTCATTTTTATTTGTCGACGATACGTTATTTATTATTGTTTCGTTTGTTTCTATTTTAACATCCGACAAATTCGCGACATCATCGCATGATAAATTTTCAACATCGTCTACTACTCTCGTTATATTTTCAACTTTGGTGAGAGGAATCTTAAAAGTTGAAAAAAAAAAAATAATTATTATTATTATTACACTAAACTTTTTTTTTTTTTGTTGTTGTTTTCTTTTATTCGAAATTTTACCAAATTAATTGACGGAGTTCCTAAAACGGATTGACGTTCTTTTATCAACCTTTTGATTTCGTCAGTATCTAAAATAGGTATTAACCTTTCTTCAATATCCATTAAAGCACTAAGGTATATGTCAGAAGAAGCCTTTAAAAAAAAAAAAAAAAATTTTTTTATTAATTAATTAATTAAATTGTTTTATTATTTGGCTCACCCCCCCAACCCCTCCAATCCCTTCACTCACCACTTGGTCGTTTAATTTTTCATTTGTTACATTTAATTTCGCCTTACAACATTTCAATTCTTTTTCAAGATTTGAAATTTCTTCCGCGGATTTTTTTGATTTTTCCCTTAATTCCCCTGCAAAAAAAATAATAATAATAATTCGATACAAATTTTTTTTTTTTTCATTCATTCATTCATTCATTACCTAATTCTGCTTTTAATTCCGTTAATTTTTCTTCAGTCTTCAACCTGGCAATTTCATTTCTCGTGACTTGATCCTTTAAATTTTCAACATTGACTAGAACTGATTTGTAATAAACGAAACCTTTAAAAATGGCGAGAAAAAAAAAAAATAGCAAGTTGTTGCATCACATCGATTTAAAATTACAAATTATTATTATCGATAATAATTATTTATTTAACCAACCTTCGCTGCTAATCGCCGATTCGGATTCATTTTCTTTTTCTAAAAGTCTTTTGCTACGTTTTGCCACCGGAGGAGAGGAATTATTTTGTTCATTCTTTTCCAAACGATTTTTTTCGAACACGGGCAATTGGGCTTTATTACCCAATTCAATGGACGGAACGAGTGATTGGGCATTGGTCGAATCTCCCCCGGCCGGACAAGTTCCCGCGGGCAAATCCGTTAATTTCCTATAATCGCAGTAGTCTCTATAAACCACTTTATTTACAAGTTTCTTTACCTGTTGAACGGGATAACGAAATTAAAACAAAATGAAAAAAGTTATCGTTTTGAAAAGAATTAATTTGTTTACCTGCGATCGGGATAATTGCAATCCTAACGAATGAATTAAATCCTCCAGGTGAGTTTTAGATATGGAACCGTAACGAGTCACGTCGAAATAAGTAAAAGCAAGCAAAAGTTCGGGATAAGCCGTGTAGTGAGCCACGGATTCTTTTCTTTTACGATCTCTCCCATCGTCTTTTCTCTCTTTTTTATTATTGCTGCTACTCCTGGAACAAGAATCCTGAAAAAAAACACGATTCGGTAACAATTTTCCTTTCCACCTTCACGTCTATGCTCTATGTTCACTCACGTTATCATCTTCGTCGCTCGATTCTTGACTCTCTTCCTTTTCGTTTCCGTTCGGAACGGAATTACCATGATCATGATTTTTATCCTCCTTTTCCATTTTCTTTTCTTCGCTCCCCAATTTTTCATCGTTTTTTTCCTTTTCGAACGATTTATTCAACTCCGTTTCCTCCGCTCCCTTTTTGCTTTTCTTTTCCCTTTCCCTTTTTTCCATTTCATCTTTGTCTTCCTGATCTGGAACTCCCAAAATGGCTCTGTAGACTTGCATACCGAAATCCCACATGAGCATTTCGTTAAATATTTCGGCGAAAAGAGACACTTCAAACGTGTGCTCCTTGCTCACATCCGATGAATAATCCAGTAGCAAAGACAAAGACATGATTTTGCATGAAAATTTCCCATTTTTCGCCACCCTCGACGGATACACGAGAATGTGAGGTGTTTCCGGTAGGTTGTACCTTTCTTCGATGACGGCACGATTTTTTTGCTCTGCTTTCTTTTTTTCTTTTTCCTTTTAAACGTAATTCATTTATTTAATTATTTTTATTTTTAAATAAATAAATGATCGTCATTTATCTCAACTCACTTGTTTCAATTTTTTTTCTTCCTCTTTATCCTTTTCCTTTTCCGCTAAAATTTTCGGATTATTTTTTTCCATGTTTTCGGCTGCTTCTTGCTCTTGTTTCAATACTTTCGACAATCTCGCAAGTAATTGTAGTCTGAGACCTTTCGAACTCATGTTTCTTGCTTCCAACTCATCCCGAAGTTCAACAACCTACGACAAAAAAAAAAAAAAAAAATTATAATTAAATTGAAATTTTTTTTTTTTTTTTAAACAAAATTTTAAAATAATATTTACTTTCATAACTTTGGGATCCAATTGCGAGTAATGAGTTGGTTCTTTTTGATTTGTCACGGTAACATTTTCGACCTGGATGATAGATATATAAAAAAAATTCAATTAATTTTTTTTTTCCATTCCTTCGACACAAAAAAAAAAAAAAAAAATTTTTTTTTTTTACATCGGCCAAATAATTTTCATCCTCAGCAATTTCAAAACTAAATTTTGTACCGAACTATAATCACCCAATTATTTATTATTGATCATAAGCCAGTATGGGCATAAAAAAAAATGGCAGCGAAATTCTAACTTCATTCATTCATTCATTTTTTTTTTTTTTATGAAATCTACCTCTTACAAAAACATAGCACCCTAATAACAATAATTATAATTATTTTTAACTGAAAAAATAATTCACAAAAAAAAAAAAAAAAAAAAAAAACAAATACATAAGTTGAGAAACTACTCAAACTAAACAAAATTTTAAATAAATAAAAATGTAATAACCCCCTTCCCCCCCCCCCCCCCCCCAAAAAAAAAAAAAAAAAAAAATCAGTTTTGAAATTGCTAAAAAGGACAAAATAGCCAATGAAAGATTTTATTATTAGTGACGGCGGCGTACATAATAGATCAAAAAAAAAAAAAAAAAAAGGCACAAATATCATCATCGTAAGATAAAAAATTATTTATATCTATGTGGTTAATATAAAATTGTCTCATCCGGACAATCGATCGGTCCTTTAAATAATAAATTTTGATGAAAATAATAATAATAATATGTAAATGATCGGAGCCGTAAAATATACAATCTTCCTTTAGAAAAAAAGCACTTTTCGTCGAAAGGCAGAATAATCAGAGACACCGTTTACAAAACCTACATTTTAAATAAATAAATAAAAAAAAAAAAAAAAAATATATATATATATGTGTGTGTGCGTGTGTATTGAAAATATATCCACAGGCTGTTGGTCGTGGTGGTGGTGTTGTGCTTTTTTAAACCAAGGGAAGAATGTCTGTCGTTCGGACTCACAAGGATTCAAATCACAGGAACGGATGTTAATGATCATCCACATAGAAAAAGAAAATAGATAAATTTTTAAAAAAAAAAAAAAAAAAAGAAAAAAAAATTAAAAAGAAATTATGCAGGCATTGTAATGATAAGTGTGTTCGTAATGAAATGCTTCCCCCTATTTTAGCAAATTTTTTTTGAAATTTTTTTTTTTTTTAAATTAAATTTCGTCATTAAACTGTAAAGAAAAAAACAAAAAAAAAAAAAAAACAAACGAAAATCCTTCATTATTCTTCTTAGCGTTATACGAATAATAATAATAATAATAATAATAATAATAATAATACGAACGCACTTATCAGCGTTTTTAAAAATAAAATTAAATTAAATTAAAAAAAAAAAAAGAAAGAATCCGATGCCTTTTCATCGTCGGGAGTAACCTCCTTTTGGTCTTTCCCAGCCTCGATCAGTTTCTTATCCATTTGATTCTTCAACTTGAGCACGAGTTCGTTCCATTCGAGGCAAGAAGGCATCGCAGACCACACATCTGGTATGTAAATAACCACCGTTTCAACCCTTGCCGGTATCTGCTTTCCTTTGTGAGTAGACCTCGGCCGGTGATAGTAAATTTCGACAAAACGGTACCTGATAAAATTTATCATCAAATCAATTCCTTCTTTTTCCCTTCTCAATTATGAAAAAAAGGCTTATCTAAGGTTTTTTTTTTTTTTTTTTTTTTTTTGTAATGTTATTATAGTTTTTTCGCAACTATCAACTGACAACAAGCGAATGTATCGATCGATCGATCCCTCCGGCTGCCATCTAAGTTAAACGTCCTAAAAACAAAACTTAAATATACAAAAAAAAAAAAAAAAAAAACAAAGAGAAATTCTAAAAGTTTTTCCTATTTTGTTTTAGTTTTTTTTTTTAGCTTTTTTTAGTTTTTTTTTTTTTTTTTTTTAAAGGGGGGACTTCGAGACAAATATCACGCGGTCGAAAAACCTGAAAACACAAAACATGAAAAAAAATATTTCTTCCCCTATTATTATTATGATTAATTCTTTCTTTTTTTTTTTTTTTTACTCTCTTTCCCTCGTACTTTCCAACATACCAGTGAGTGCATGGAGTTAAATCAATTCCAGTCAGCGCTCTGCATGTTCTTGTTGCCGTTTTGATAAGAACGTTGGGATCTCCAACAGGATCGGTACCGTCTAAAGATGGACTCCAAGGACCTCCTATGGCCATTATTTCATTTTTTGCTCGAGAATTTATGCCCACCTTAAAATATTATTTATTGTTCACGTAAAAACAAATAAAAATTTTTTTTTTGATCTATTTGATCGAAACTTACCAAGCAATTTATAAGACGTGATGGATGAACTAAATTTTTCCCATCATCCTTATCCATATCTTCTGTCAATTGCATGCATTTTTTCATCATACTATCCTTGGGGGGTATGCTTAAAAGCATGACCTGCACGAAAAAAATTTTTTAGATAAATATTTTAAGTTTTTGAAAGAGAAAAAAAAAAAAAAAATTATGAAACCTTACTTTGGCACAAAACAAATAATCTGCATCTGGAGGTTCTAAATCATCAGGATAGTCATTCAATCTGTCGACTTCCTTGCTTAAAATGTAAAATTGGGCATTTTTAGAAAATTCCATTGTTTTTTGTTGTGGTATTGTTTCAATCCATTTCAGGGAGATTCTAAAAAAATCACTAGGAACATACATGGTGTGATATCTAGTTCTCAAATCGGAAACTGATAAATGATTGCTGCAAAAAAAAAAAAAAAAATTATTTTTATTATTTATCGAATGAATATTTTGATACCTGATATGTGTAGTTAAAACCTACATATCTAATGGAAATTCTGGCACTCTAACTCTATATTTTTTTACTATTTGCCTTGATGTTGATTTTTTAAGAGACCTGGATCTAGTTCTCTCTCTTTCTCTTTCTTTTTCCTTAACTTTTTCTTTATCTTTATCATCTCTATCCCGACGTTCTTTTCTTCTCCTTTCTTCTTCAATTGATGGTACGGGAGATCTATTTCGATTTCTTTCACGACTTCGCCTTCGTCGACGATCTCTGTCACGATCTCTTTCTCTACGAGAATCATCGTACTCTCCTAAATACGAAAAAAAAATTATGGCAAATTTATTTTTAAAATTTCAATGACAAAAAAAAACATATTTTTTACCTGGAGGAGGGACAGCAGCATAATTTCCTCTGTCTAATGACGGTGGAGAAACAATAAAACCTTTTTTATTATTTCTAGGTGCATCATTCATTGGCAAAACTTGAATTCTAGTAGCATTCCACTTGAATGGCATATTCGGCAAACATACAGCTTCAACCAAAACTCTGTCGTTAACCACTGGAGGGGGTCCTTTTACAACACTACAATCGTAATCAATTAAAATTATTAAAATAATAACAGCAACATATTTAATTTTAAAATAAGAAGAACCTTAACCATACCTTAATTGAAAAAACACATCTTCATCGACAAAACCATATGTGTCGAGTACTTTGGTAACCATTCCTGTAAACACTCTCTGTTTTGTACCAGTAGTTGTAGCTGTAGGAGGGTTGTTTACTTGTGATGTTGGAGCAGATGGTGATGAAACAACTGGTTGAGCAAATGCAGCTGCATTTAAATTTCTTGTTCCAACTGCTGCAGCTACAGCATTTAATTGGGGATTGTATATCTGTAAAAAATTTTTCGGCATTCGTAAAAATTTTTTTAAAAAATTAAACTTTTTAAATAATAATTTTTTTAAACTTACTTGTGCATTAGCCATTTGCTGTAAATTTTGTTGCATGGTAAGGGCTTGCTGTTGCAATGCTAATTGGGCTTGGTAAACGGTAGCCGTTTGTTGCCCAGGATTTTGTTGATACTGAACTACAGGTGACATTTGAGGGGTAAGCATTTGTTGATGAATTGCAGGCTGAGTCATTTGTGGCACAGAAACTACAAATTATAATAATAATAAAAAATGAACAATAACGTATCCTATTTTATTAAAATCCACGCTGCAAATTCAATTTCCATTCAACAAAAATAATGTAAGGATAGCGATGGGGGGGGGAATTGATATTTGATAAACGTTATCATAACAACTTAACACATTAAAAAACATATAATAATTAATAGTTTAATTCAATAATAATCAACAAACATATCGAATCACTAATAAAAAATGTCGTAAATTAATTATAATAAACGATAATGCATTGGAAAAATTAATAACATTTATTCATGGTGTAAATAATATCATATACGTTACAATAGAGAAATATTATGATAAAAATTAAAAATTGCAAATGAAAATAATTATTACAACTTACAATTATCAGAACGAACCCAAGGTGGGTTTTTGGGAGTATTAAACTGTGACATTATTTAATCATTTAATGTGAAACACTGAAAAACTTATATATTTAACACTTAAAAAAACAACTAATGCTTCCCATTATTTGTCGCATTTTTGAAAATCCGGAAATGCACAACACGACATTTTGTTTAATAAATAAATTTTTATATTTTAAATATTAATAAAAACGTTAAAACAATACATTTAAAAAAATTTACGTATTTTATAAAATTAAAATGTAAGTTAATATTAACATTAAAAGTTTTTTTAATAAAATTTTTTAAAAAAAAAACAAGCAATCAATGACTTCAGTAGTCAAGCATCAATAAAATCGAAGTTTCAATATCATTATTTAAGAAATAAAAAATTACATAAAAGGTAAATTTTAATAATTTTAAATGATGAATAAGACTTTTAAAAGTTAATTATTAATTAATACATGATAAAAATGCTTTCGAAATGCTCTCAAATGTTTTCTAACCATGAAAATAATCTCTTATGAAATTCAGGAGTTGCAACTAAACTCCCGCCATTTTTAACTTGAAGACATTATGCAGTCTCAAATTTGATTTTGAGCATTACAAAATTATTTTTATTTTCATCAGTAGGTATCTCTCATATTATTTCAAAAACATAATAAAATAAATAAAAATAATTTTTTGAATTTCATTTGAAATATTGCATGTGTGTTAAAAAAACTTTAAATTGTAATTGGTTTAATTTAAAAATATTTTATTAATGTTAAATGAAAACAAATTTAATGATGATATAATATTACAATTCTTTGTAGGTGGTTTCATTGAATATAAAATTTAAATATTTATAATGATTCTAAGTGAATAGAATGTAATGAAATCATGTTTTGGAAAAAAGGAAAAAGGAAAAAAGAAAAAACAAATAATTGTCTCAATTATAATGACATGAAAAATTAACTTTGAAAATGGATCCAAATTAACTTGAATATCAACCTAAATAAATAACACAAATGTACAAAAAAAAAAATTAATAACTGTGATAAACTATCGGTTGTGATATAAGAAACACCTGGTCTGAAAAAAAAAAAAAAAAAAGAAAAGTGTAAAACGTTGTAAAAAGTAAACAACTGATAAAGAATGTGAAAAATACAACAACAATATTGTAGGGGTCAGTCTACCAAGCCTACTTCATGATGTTTCATAATGTACCTAATGTACCTTATCACTGAAAGGTTTAAATCATACCAAAACAGAGAAAAAAAGAGCAAGGTAAGAATAAAATTAAAATAGAAAAAAATTTTAACAAACAAACACAGACAAACACAATAAACAATAATAATCAGTGCTAACATATTTCACACAATATTTTATTAATTTTAAGTTTGTTTGTGTCAGAGCAGGAGGAAAAGAAGGGGGAGAGGAGGAGGAGGAAGGTTGAAAGGATATTTTGTTGTGTTCTTATTTTTTGTTGTTGTTGTTGTTGTTGCGAGGAAAAATAGTCTAATTTCGGGGGCGTATGTTTCCAAGGGGGAACAAAAAAACGCGAAATGAGCTGGCGCAAAGAAATCCATATGCGCGTTAGCGGATCCATCTAGGACCGAAACTTAAATGCAACAGTTGGCCGTAGGTCGCGGCGTGTGTCCATTTATATAATTTCGCGCATTCAAATTTTTTCTATAAAAAAAAAAAAAAAAAAAAACAATAAGAGAATAATCGTTTTCATTGAGGGAATTTTTTTTTTACATGTATATCCATATTGTGTCTGTAGTGGTGGCAGGCAAGCAGGGAGTCAGGTAAGTTTATCGAAAGGTCTTTGTTAAAAAAATTAATACCGCGTTTAATTTTTTTTTTTTTTTTTATTATCATCGACTACGACTACGACGATGATGATGATGATGATGATGCGTATACGATTTTTGCCATTTTATCGCATTTTTTTTTTTTTCCTCCAATTTGTTGTCTCGATCGTTGTTTTCCCTAACAGCTGTTTGCTTTTCAAACCGTTTTCTTAATAGATTTTTATTATTATTATTATTTAATTGTCTTTATTACGTATTAATAATTTAATTTACGTTATTTTTTAAAATTGTTTTCACATATATATATAATTCGAATTATTATTTGTTTTTGTTTTCGAAACAGGGTAACCTTTCACCTTTTCGATCGCGACGAATCCCAACCATTTGTTTTATTTTTTTTATTTTAATATTTTTTATTTATTTAATTTAAATTTTGTAAAAATAATTTGAGCGAGTGAATTTAACATAAATAAAATTTTTACTACCAAATGAAATTTATTTCGATTTTAGGGAAAATCGATTCAAATTATCAATCGATGACAAATTATCGATCGTCATTTAAAATTTTTTTTTCGTTATTGTTTAAACAAAAAAAATTTTATGGAGAAATGTAAAAAAAATAATGAAAGCACCCATCTGTTATTATTTAAAACGTTTTAATCGATTTTATGTAATTATGTTTTTCAAATTAAATTTTTTTTTAAAAAATATATTATTAACAATTACGTAAGTGAAATTGCCAAAAAAAAAAAACCGTTAAATTTTAAATTTTAAATTTTAATCGATCGATTTTTTTAAAAATTTTTCGGGAAATTCGTATATATGAAATTTATTGAAATATGTTGGGAAAAAGGGAAATTTATTTTTACCTAAAAAGAAAGTATATATATGTGTAATAATAATAATAATAATAATAATTTTAAACGTGAGGTTATGATAAAAATCATATGTAATCACGTTTAAATCCCTTTCGGCAATAACAATAATGAAACTTTCAATAATAATTTTTTTTTTTTAAACAATATTTGCATAAATTTATTTTTCACCCGTGTAAATTAACCCTCTTTCGATATTATTATTATTTTTTATTCAGGTACAAATTACGTAAAATTTAAAAAAAAAAATGGGAAGAGTAAATGTTTGTGTGTGTGTGGGATTTCATTAAATATTCTTTAACAACAACAACAACAAAATATTTTTATATAAAGCCTTAACGGAATTAATATTTTTTTATTTAAAAAAAAAAAACAATTTTCTTTTTTTGTTTATTTGTTTGTTTTGTTAACAGAAAATAAATAAATAAATTTTTTTTATTTATTTTTTTCAGGTTTATATTCTTCCATGTAAAGTAAATAAATTGAAGAGTGAATAATAATAATTATTTTAAAAAAAAAAAGTTTTATTAATTAATTAATCGAAACGACGACGTGGATGGCATCATTTATTTGTAAGTAATTTTTTTATTTTTTATTTAAAACAAAATGATTAAGGCCCTCTAAGATTAGGTTTAATATTAAAATTGTTTGTTTGGTAAACGACGTACCTGAATTTTTAAACGTTTAATCAGAACTTGATGATACCACCGAGTACTTTGGCAAAATTGTAAATGTCGCATTGAAAAAAAATATTACGTAAGATAATGAGATAAGTGAATAATAATAATAATAATAATTTTATTCGAGAATGACACAACGCGCACGTACACACGCACGAACACACACACGCGTGAGCACAATCAAAGTTATCACAATTAATTTTTTATTTTTTTTTTTACCTCATTTGTGGCGAGACGATAAACGAAAAAAATTTTTTTTTTTATTCGATACTAAGAAAGCCATTAAAACCGGAAGTTAAAATTTTAATATTAGTCATTTCGTAAGTTCCGGTTAAAATTTATTCCCCTTTTCGAATTTTCCAGAAAGGAAAAAATGTCGAAAAAGAGTATAAAAAAAAAATTTTTCTTCTTCTTTTTCCCCCTTTGTGATAAAACAAAGAAACAAACAAACAAAAAAATTTCATTGAAACCAACCATTGGTGATTTAATCTTATAAAAGAACGACATTAATAATAATAATAACAATGATATAATAATAATAATAATAATAATGATAATAGTAATAATTATTAAAAATTTATCAAAGTAGACCCTTTTCATTAAAAAAAAAAAAAATTATTATTTAAATTAATTTTATTCGTAATTTTTTTTTTTTTTTTTTTGTATAACCGATTTGTTGTTGTTGTATTTGTTGTTGATGTTGTTGTTGTTGTTGTTGTTGTTGTACAGACGTGAATGTTTTTTTATTTCCACCGTTTCAAATTATTATTATTCACGTAAAAAAAAAAAAAAAAAAAAAAAAAATAGAGTTTTAAAATATTTTTTTTTTAAAACTTTTGATGATTCTCACGAACGTTTTTTTTTTTTCGCATAACTTCGACAAATTTTATTAAAAATAATAATAATAATAATAATAATAATAATAATAATAATAATAATAATAATAATAATAATAATAATAATAATAATAATAATAATAATAATAATAATAATAATAATAATAATAATAATAATAATAATAATAATAATAATAATAATAATAATAATAATAATAATAATAATAATAATAAACAGGGAATTTTTTTTTTTTCGTTGAAAACTTTGTTTGACTTAATGAATTTTTGTAACTTTTTTTTTTTTTTTTTAATTACTCGATTTTTTTTTTTGTTTTATACTGAAAACGTGCGTTTTGTTATTATGTTTTCATTTTGTTTTGTTTTTTTTACATAACCGCGCCCATCGATACACAATCGTGTTGCACATTTAATAATTTATTATTTCATGTCTTACGAAAAATGCATTTTCTAAATTTATTATCCGGGTAATCGGTATTAATTATTATTTTTCTATCGAACGAACGAGTATCCCTAAAATAAAAAGGTTCTGTTAGTAAATACCCGATGACGTCATGTGCAATTTCCTGAAAAAAAGGTGGGGGCTCGTAAAATGCAAGTAAACGTTAGGGGCTAAAGTAAAAACTTGATTTGATTACTTCACAAATTAAAATTTTTTTCATTCGTATGAAAAATGGCTAATACTTATTATTAATTATTTTTTTATTAATTAAACATATTAATAAACGTATAAAATATAATTTTGTGAGGGGTGATTACGTCATCGAATCGTTAAAAAAAAATTTTTTGTTTTATATAAAATTATTTCTACTGGGATTTTTTTTGAAAAAAAAAAAAAAAATAGTAATGATAGGAATAATAATGTGAGAAATGACAACTGGTATGATCGTACGATGATGATGATAATAAGGAATAGAAAATTTAATCAAAACTAAAGCTAGTTTCCTGACGGGTAGTGGTAGTGGTAGTAGTAGTAGTAATGTAGAAAATGAAAAATGAGATGTAGAAAATTAAATTCCGTTGGAAAATCTGACTGCGGGCAAAGGGATTGATCGAATATACACAATCCTGAATAGAAAAAAATGTAAAATTCAATCATTGAAAAAAAAAATGATGATAATGATGACGATGATAATGATGACGATGATGATGATGACGATGATGATGTTGATGTTGATGATGATGATGATGATGAAACCAATACAAAACCATGGTTTTCTCTTCTTTTTTTTTTTGTAACGTAATAATTACGCGTATTTTAACATCATTTCATACGTTAAAATAATTTTTTTTCTTTTTTTTTCAAAATTTATTTATGGAAAGTTTTAAAAAAAATTAAATCATGTACATAACCTGTACGTGCCTGATTTATAAATCATTTAGAAAAAGATAAAAAAAAAAAAAAAATCATTCGGTTGGTTTTTTTTCTTTTTTAAAATTAAAAAACCATTTGAAGAATGCATTGACGAGGTAACGAACGTACGAAAAAAATTATTATTATTATTATTATTTTTAATTTATTTTTTTTTTTGGGTCGTTATATTAATTAATTAATTAATAAAAAATTGTTTTAATAAAAAAAAAATTTTCAATTGATTTATTAATCAGTTAGACAAATAAATAAATTTTCATGTGTCGGGTGTTGTTAAACGTTAAAATAAATAATTTTTATTATTTTTTTCATCGTTATAAATAACGTATGAGTTTTTTTTAAATAAGTTATTAATAAATAAAAATTAATTTTTTTTGTGTTTGTTATAAATTAAAAAAAAATTGTTGAGAGTTTGTTGTAATATTTATATTGCGTGTTAAAAGTCAATTGAATTTACAAAAAAAAAAAAAAGTGTAAGTTGAAGTATAAAAACAAAAACATTTCAGGATGGATACACGTGAAAAATTTTTTATAAACAAACTATTTTTTAACTAATTTTACTATTTTTTTTTGGGGGGGGGGCTGGATGGATGGGTGGGAGACGGAAGGGGAGGGCTTTTGATTTATATCATCGTCGTTAAATCGAATTCTTACTCTTGACAATTAGTTTAACATGATTTTTATTTACCCTTTCGAAACGTTTTATCATTATTATCATTACTAATACGATTGCGAAATTCGATTATTATCATTATTATCATCATCATCATTATCATTTGCGTGCGATGGCAATTTAAAAAAAAAAAAAAAAAAGTTTCGAACACTTCAATAAAAAAAAAAAAAAAAAAAAAAAAAATTTTTTTTCGTGACGTGAATTAAATGTTGGCTCCAGGGTTGATTTTTATTACTTATTTTTTTTTTTGGGGGGAAAGCAAAAAAAAATATTAACTGGAGCAAAAAAAAAAAAAAGGCTTAATTCGGGGCTATTAAAAGGTCAAAATAAAGGTCAAAGTTAAATTTTTATTTATCTTTTATATATATAAATAATGTGATGAAATGAAATAATGTTGTTGTCGCATTTCAATTTATTTTGGAATAAAATTTTTCGATTTTTAGATAACCTAACTATGGAAAATGATAACGTGCCTGTTTTTTTTCAAGGTTAATCCTGGAAAAAGTGGCCATATTGTCGATTACTATGCGTGTATGTAAATTGTACGGGTCGTCGTGAGGTTTATAAAACGTGTAAAAAAAAAATTTTTTTTCTTTCTTATCGCCATTATCCAGAATGTTGAGGAAAAACCGGTTAACCGTGTTTCAATGTGATAGTTAATGTTATTACAGTAAAATTACCCCTTCAGTATTTTTTTTTTTTTTTTTTAACTTCTTTTATTACAACTTTTTAATTTGATTTATTACAATTTTATAAAATATTATTTGAGAATATCACATTTATTTTATCGAGAAAACCTTTAAAAATATATAGAAAGTTATTTTATGTTGCTAAAAAAAAAAAAAATTACAATTTTTTTGCTTTCCTGCAAGTGAGTGAGGGGAGGGAGGTAGGGAGAAGGGGGAAGAAAGGAAGAGGGAGAGAAAAAAGTGATGTATTTATGAGATGTAACTTGAAAATTTTTAACAAGTTTTAAAATGTCATTTAAAGGAGAAAAAAAAAAAACGCACACACAAATCCAAAAATTAATAAATTGGATTTGCGAGGAGGGCGGGGTGGGTGGGGGAGAAGGGAGGATGTAAAATTATTATTATTATTTTACCGATAAATATAATAATAAACAAAATAAAAAACGACAAATTTTTTTTTTACACGATTAATGAACGTTATTAAACGGCTTAAAATAATTTTTTTTTTTTTTTTTTTATACGCAACTCGGAATCCGACAGGGAAATAAAAAAAAAAAAAAATTAATGGATCTATTCATTCGTTCATTCATTCATTCATTCACGAATTTACTCGATTCGTTTTTAATCCGAAAACAAAAACGAAAAATAAAACGACGTAAATAATTTTTTTATTATTTTTGTTTGTGTGTTGCAGGAAATGTAACAAACGACAGATGCCCCACATCCGGAAGACAAACAGAATCGGTACACAATTAAGGAACGAAACAATTGAAAAATTTATAAATAAATATAAAATTGATAAAATAATATCAAAAGTGGATCGAACGAATCAACGTGGGATAATCAAGTTCGAAAGGCAGAATGAAGAAGGGAAAAATGGAAACGTCGGTGACGAGGGTCGAAACGTTACAGTTTTGGACAGTAACGAATTCGAAGAAAGAGTTATAAGATCCGTTTACGGAAATAAATATGACGAAAAAAATTCATCATCACAAGGTTCCGAGGTATCATCATCGAAAAATTCAAACGAAGATTGTTTTGATAAAAAAACATCGGATAACGATAAAAGAGAAAATGTAAACGATCGGAAAAACGCGGTGGAAAATATAAAAAAATGTTCGGTTGATTCGTCAGTGCGGTTGACTTCATCAAACGCGGTCGAACATCATCCGCAAAAAGATAAAAAAGTAAAATTTGCGGAATCTCCTTCGAAAAGTGGTGACGTCGTACGAAAACATCAATACGGTCATAACAAATCGGAAAAGTATAAATATTATTCGCATTATAAACCGGAAACGAAAAATTTTCACATTTCGCATACACCTGATTTATACGGTCCTCAGGTTGGAGAAATTGCCGTGGTTACGGATTTAGTACCGGATGATCCGATATCGGCATGTCTTCCATGTTTGGAAGCGAATGGGACTTATATATGCACTCCTTGTAATCCAAGATGTTTCATCATTCAAAAGGTGAGTTTTTTTTTCTTTATTTTTTTTTCCGCCGCCCCCCCCCTTCCCCCGTCGAAAATTCCACGTTAACAATTCGGTTGACAATTATTGTACCTTACCCTTCCATCAGTCTGGAATTACCATGCGTGCGTGTGCGTGTGCGTGTACACAAACAAAAATATATATATTAATTACTCTTGTGAGAAAGGTCATTCACCTCGTGTCACGCCAACTTTTTTAAAAAATTATTAAAATATTTTTCCATATCGGATTCAGGATGTTCTATTTCCGTTATTTGGGTGGGGGGGGAGGGTTCATTAAGGGAAAATAGATGAACGTCCATGCACGAAACAGGAAAAAATTTTTCAGGTTTTCCTAATTGAAATTTCATGCTTTAAACATGTTTGACATTCCTTCCAAGTGGCTTTGTAGGGAAAATGAAAAAAAAAAAAATTTTCCTTTGTCACAAAGGAGAAAACGCGCGGGTAGTCAATAGGAGGCTATCACACAATTCTTTTTCCTTTGTTGTTGTTTTTTTTCATTTTTTATCGATCGGAAAAACTCGTGACTTTATTATTATTACTCGTTTTTGATTTAATTCGGTTTAAATTTTCAAGTTTTTTTTTATTTCCTTTGAATAATAATAATAATAATAATAATAATAATAATAATAATTTATTTTAGTAAAATTTTAAATACTTTTGCCATTTTTTTTTTTGGGGGGGGGGTTAAATACCACTTTAAAAGAAAGAAGTAATTGTATATAATTTCTTTTTTTTTGAAAACCACCCGAAAAAAGAATTAAAAATAATAATAATGATAATGATAATGATGATAATAATAATAATAATATCGTGAATTTTTATTTTTCGTTAAGTGGTTCGTTAAGTGTTTTGAAAATAATAATGACTCTTACTCGTTTTTTGTTTCGTTTCCGTTTTCGTTTTCGTTTTGATACAAATAATGAATGAGTCGAGCATAAGGGGAAAAATTTATTAATTTCCCGAACTTATTGATTGATTGATTATAATGATAATTACGATACCTGTACGCGTCGTTAAAAATAAGTTTTCGAAATGTTATCGAAAGAGCGAAGTGCACACCCACACACCGAATTCGAAAAATTTTTTAAATCGTTTTTACCCGTTTTATCGAAATGCGTGGAAAATGCGTTTGTTTGTTTTTTTTTTTTTTTTCACGTTGGTATCCTCGTGCGCGACAGACGATAGAGAGATATTTTTTAATTACGTGGTTAGTTTAGGGATAAAAATAAAAAAATAAAAAAATAAAAAAAAAAAGATTAAAAGTAATTGTTATAAAGAAAAGTTAATCAATTAATGAATGAGACAAATTATTTTATTCGACACGTCGAAAATAAATTTTTTTTTTTTTTATATTTGTGATGTTAAAAATGTGTTGTTTCATTCATTGATAAAAAAATTCTTTTTCCACGGAAAAAATAATAATAATGATAATGATAATAATAATAAGGAGAAGAAGGAGATGAAAAAAAAAAAGTCACCATGTAATTCATTGTTAATAATTAAATTAAATTAATTTAATTTAATGAGATATGGTTAAATGTCTTTTGACACTTTTGTTAAATCGTTTTAACTACTTTTTTTTTTTACCCCGGAAAATTGTTGTTGTTGTTGTTTATTGAGGTAAAGGAAAAAAGGAAAAAAAAGGAAAAAAACAGGTGAGAAAAAAAAATATTGTTCTACTATGATGTAAAAGAAAAAAAAAATGGGAAAATAAATGAGGAAATAAAAATACCGGAAGTAAGAGGGGAAAAAAAAATTAAACTTTGAGTTTATTATTATTATTATTATTAATATTTCGGAAAATTTTTTTTTTTTTTTCTGTTGAAAAGTCGTTAAATTATTTTCCGAAAAATATAATTTTTTGCGCCGTTTATTATTTTCTAGGGTTTGAATTTTTAAAATGACGAAATATACATACGAACATTGTTCTCTCGCACATTTTCTATTTTTCCGCGTCTTAACCCTGCTCCCTCCCCCCTCATTTCCTCTCCGCCTCCCTCGCCTCCCCTCCCTTTTCCTCAACCTTTTTGTTTCTTTCTCTTATTTTCCTTTTTAACCATTTTAACTCTCTTTATTTTTCTTAAATGATTTCTTCATTGTACATAACTTGAAAACGGGGGGAGGGAGGAGGAAGAGGAGGGGGAGGGAGGGAGGGAGGGAGTGGGCGGTACTTTTGTTTTTGATTTAACCACATCATTTTATAATTTAATCTATTATTTTTTAATGAAATCGTTTTTTTTTCCTCTACTCTCACTGTCTTTCTCTCTCTCTCTCTCTTTCTCTCTCTCTCTGTCTCTTTATTTTTCACATTATCATTTCTTATAAATTTTAAAAGAAATTTTTAAAAATTCATTTCACGAAATTTTTTTTTTTCGCAATCAATAAAATCAATTCCGTCGAACGAACAACGAATGTGATTGATATTCGAAGAAATTGATTAATTTGTTTTTTTTTTTTTTTTAATATGTCCCCCCAACCCCCCGAACACCTTTTCGATTCCTGTATCCTTTCCCTCTTCCCCCTTCCCCCGCTTCTTTAATTTAAAATTTATGACGGACAAGATGGTAAAAATCGGGTGAAAAGTGGTCGTCGACCGCAAATAATAATGATCGAATTGTTTAAATTCCAAAAGATTTATAAAAAAGGAGAGAGAGAGAGAGAGAGTGTTATCGTTATCAAAATTAAAAATATTACGTCATTGTTTTGATGACGTTTTCGTTAAAAAAAAAAAAAACGTTGCCTTTTTTCCCTTTGTTTATAAAGAACGATTATTATTATTATTTAAAAAAAACCGTTTTGCTCTGTGTGATGTTTTTTTGTTGTTGTGGTTGTTGTTGTTGTTTTTAAATATGAAAACTTCGTTTTAAAACGTTTGTTCGTTTGTTTGTTTAATGAAAGTGTCCAAAACAGGTACTAACATATGATGATATAAAGTTGAGGTAGTTGTTTGTTTGCGGTTATCGTGTGACGGTGAAAACAGTAATGATGACAACCGAATCTGTTGTTGAAGATTTGTTTTTTTAATCTGAGTTGTTGTTAGTACGCGTGTTTGTTTCTTTTCGGATCGATACCGTCGCAAGTTCGCAATTGTAAATCGACTCCACGGCAACCTCACTCGTGAGCTCCCCACAGCTCCTCACTTTTATTATTTTTTTTTATTTCATTCATATATTTTTCCCTTTGAATATTATTTGTTTGGCTTCGAGAATGTATACGAAAAACAAAAAAACGTTTTACTTATGATTTTTCAAATTTTCCTTTTCGTGCACGTGCGTGGGAGGAGGTGAGTCGATACGAGGAAATTTGGTTTTACCAACGTGGTCACAAACAAGGTAATGTCAACGTGGTAATAGAAGGTGAACTTGTGTTGATTTTCTTTACGATAAATTTTTTATTGTTGTTGTTGTTGTTGTTGTTATTTTTCCGTTTGTTTGTTTGTTTGTTAGATATTTTTATTTTTTCAAAATTGATTTTTCTTTTTTTTTATTAATTTTTGAAATGTTTCGTTGCCTTTTTTAAAATTATTATTATTATTTTTATTTTAAATAATACCGTTAAGGTCCTGTTTTTTTTTTATTGTGTTCGTTTCGAAAAGAAAAAACGTCATTATTATGACGTCATGTTGAATTTTCTTTTTTCGCACTTGAAATTGTTTTTTGTTTTAGTAAATAATTAATTTTATTTCTATTATTGGTTTTTTCATCCCTTTTCTAAAACCACACCACAAATAAAATTTATTTAAATAAATAAATAAATATTGAAAATTAACACGTACCTTTCGGTAAAGAAATAATAATAATAATAATAATAATAATAATAAATTTTCTTTTTTTAGGTTTTCGATTTTTTGCGAAAAATTTTTCAAGTTTGATGTTTATATAAATAAAATTGAGGATTGTTTCGAAAGGTAACACATTAAAGGTAAAACAAAATTAGAAAAAGGTTTTTTTTTTTTTTTTGAGATTCATATTGGCGTGAATTTTTTTAAGTAGAGAGAGAGAGAGAGAGAGAGAAAATCATAACGGTTGGATACTTTGGACTTTTTTCGTAACGGGCTATGTTAATGAAATTTTCTATAACTTTATACCGATGGCGATGCAGCAAAAAAAAACTTTTCGTTTGAGACAGACACGTTCAAAGGAAAAAAAAAGGTGAGGAGGAAGAAGTGGTGGTGGTGGTGGTGATGATGATGATGAATAAGTTGACATGAAATTCTTGCGATTTCTCATGTAGTGACAAAAAAAAAACGGTTTGCCAAGAAGAAGAAGAAATGAGAAAATCCATCGTCGGTTGAATAAATTGTCAATGAAGTGTGCAAAGAAAAATTGATTAAAAAAAAAAAAATTTTTTTTTCACCGTCACCGGTAATTAAATTTAACCTGTTCTGCTCTCCGCTCCCCACCTCCCCCCGATTTTTTTTTTTTCGAACAAAACCGTCGATTGTTGATCTTTTTTTTCATTTTCAAACGAACAAAATAAATCGTGGAAAGTAAAGGGAGAAAACGTGGAAATAGAAAAATAACTCGTGACAACAACAACAACAACAACATTTCCCCAATTGTATTACTCGCGATACCGGAAGTGAAATTTTTTTACGATCGTTAATCGATTATCAATAATCGAATTTATTTATTTATTTATTTAAAAAAAAAAAAATCAAATATTTATTTGATTATCGAAATAATTTTATCGTTCGTTGGATTTTTAACAAAAACATTTTATTATTATTATTATTATTATCATTATTACTAATTAAAAATACGAACAAAAATTTTTTTTTTTTTTTTTTTGGGGGGGGGGAAGAAATTATTCAGTCACGAGATAAAACGAGATGAAATTTCGAGAAATTTTAAAATTTGTTCATTTAGATTTTTTTGACGAAAGGTTAAAAGGTTAAAATCTCTTATCAAAACGGTTGAGGTTTGTTATTCGACAAATTATTATTATTATTATTATTATTATTATTATTATTATTATTATTATTATTAATGTCGCGGGTTTTTTTTTGACGGAAAAGGAAGTAAAATGCGCGAAGTGTATGAATTTTACGTAAACTCAAGCATAAATTCATTAAGAATGATTTGGGGAAAAAATTTTCTTTCGATTTTTCCACGACCTGGAAAAAAAAATTTTCCAGAGTTTCCAGAAAAAAAAGAAAACAATTTTCTCGAAAGATTAATTATCGTTATATACATATATTTGAAATGAAAGATATCTTCTGTCTTTTTTTACTTTATTCATTCATTAGGGGGTTTATTATTAATTATCGTAAAAGTTTTTTGTTTTTCTCTTTTCATCATTAAAAAAAAGATGCTGTTGCTGTTGCTGCGACTAAGGTTAACCTTTTTCATATTGTTTCCCGAG